ATAATATTGCATGAGTTCCTTGTTTTTTAATGCAGCATAGTATTCCATTGTGCGAATATACCACAGCTTCTCTAGCCATTCGTTTGTTGATGGACACTTAGGTTGTTTCCAACTCCTGGGAAAGCAATTTTTAAATAAAGCACTACTCTCAAAATTTCTAACAAAGGCTTAAAATATTAACATACACAGATGTGTATGGATTTAAAATGGAGACTAAGGTAATGTGAAATTTTTTAACTTTAAAAAGGAAATGATTGTATTTGGTAAAAAAATTGAGATTTGTATAAAAACTAGTCTACAAAATTAAGGGCACACACTCATTTTTATTTTGCTCTTTCCCTTCCTTAGACACTGGTTTTTTATTCCCCAGTCCTGCTTGATATACTGTCTCCTGTGTTTTGTACATGTTGTTATTTTCCTTTTTTAAATAAAATTCTTAAAGTACTTTTGGCATTTCAGCCAGTGTTCAATATTGGCGATTGTTTCTATATATTTCTAAAGGAAATTTAGTAATACATTGAAGACTAAAATTGATCACATAATAGCTTTTAAAAAAACCAAGTGCACCGTGAAGTTGACTCTGACTAATGAGAACCCCATTTTCTTTTAAAATTTTATTAATTTTAATGAAATTTATTGAGATTTTGGATTTCCATTCATTCATTGTTGTACTTTTCTCCCTGCATACCTCCCCCCCCCCAGTTTGCTCTTCTCTTTGAAAAAGAAAAGAAAAATTCCTTCATTGGTATATAACCCTCCTGCTCCTGCGCTGAGTACACTCCACTATGTATCTTTCGTTCTGGACTCTCGTGATAACCATATTACGTAACCGCTTTTTTTTTAACCTAATCGCTTTTAAACTGTTCTCTCCCTCATCTGTTTCAATGCAGTATAATTTATCCAGTTTTTCTCAGTCTTATCCCAACCCTGATAACAGTCCCATTCTACAACAGTGGCACTAACAGTATTTGTCCCTTTGTGACTGAGATATTTCACTCAGTATAATGTCCTCCAGGGTCACCCAGTTTGAATAATATTGCATGAGTTCCTTGTTTTTCAATGCAGCGTAGTATTCCATTATGTGAATATACCACAGTGTGTTTATCCATTCTTTTGTTGATGGGCACTTTAAAAAAATATTTTTTTTGTGTGTGTGTACTATCAAATTGGATCTGACTGGTACAGGAAAAAATTATCTTCTCATTCTGCAGGAGAGTATCTGGTGGATTCGAACCATGTACCCCTGGGATTGCAGTGCAGTTTCTTGCCAGTAGGCCACCAGAGCTCCCTGAGGGTGGTGCACTTTTAAATAAGTTCTCTTCGTTATGCTTTTTAACACTCTGAAGTTTTGTGTTGCTACTTCTAGGTAAAGGTCTGTACCCTGAGTTGTGGATAGAGTTTATAGTCTTTTTAACCTCCTTGTCATCCCATCCTGAGGATTATTGGGCACGTAACACATAAATTTAAGTCTCATAACAAAAATAGTTAGCCAGAGAAACTTATCTGGAATTCTTCAAAGGAAGATTAGATATAAGCTCCAGGACCTGGCCAAAATAGGATTTGTTTAGTGTGGCACATTGTTTACAGACTATTTCTACCTTTGTGCTGGCTTAGTTCTGTCCTTTTACTGTGGTAGTTTTATCGTTAAAGTTATTTACCATTGTTCCGTTTATTTTCTAGTCTAGTAAATGTTACTAAACCACGTGTTTTACTCCCAAGAAGAGTGGGTGTTTTTTGATGCTATCGCTGGAATACTTTTTGTTTTGATGTGAATGAACATATACAAAGCAAATTGGTTTTCAAATTCACTCACTCATTTAGCTTCAGAACGTTATCATTCCCACGGTGTACTCACACCCTGCAGACTCTCACTCTGTGGTTCTTGTTGCCATTAATCTTTGAACTGTACTCTTTCCTGCCTTATTAGTTGGTTACACTATGGAAGTGAAAGCCTCCCTCTTGTTTACCTTATAGGCCTGTTTATTGTTTGGCTAAAAGTTGAGCTGGGGACGTGTTTTGTTCCAGGTTTCTCAGGGCCTTAGTGTTGGACATTTCACCAAGTTTCTCCTGGACCAGTAAGCTTGGCCATTTCTACATTTTATGACACTCTTCATGCCATCATGGTCCAATGCAGGGCTATCTTTTGTAATTTACTTTAGGGTTTCAGTGGTATCTGGGTGCAGTCTAATCATTCTTTGTCTGCAATTTATTTCATCATAGCTATTTCAACAAATAGTCTCCTTTAAGGGCTCATTTCTCTTACATCTGATAGTCATGGTTTATTTACCTTCTTTCTCATCTCACATGGGTCTGCCCAACCCACTGTCACCAGACTTTCGAAGGCTTCTTTGTCTTTATAGTTCATTCCTTCTACTGAAAAACCTTGACGTTTAATGAGACACTGAGCGCCATCCGTGTATTAAGCGGCCTCTGGTGGTGGTGGTGAGGTTCTGTGGAGTTGGAACCCACTCATAGCTGACTCTACTAGGTTTTCAGAGGCCATAAACTGCACAGGAGGAAATGACCCATCTGTCTCATGTGGAGCTGATGGATTCGAACCACATGCTTTGGGTTGGCAGCACAAACCGTTAGCACTAAGTACCATATTTTAGAGATAATTTCATGTTTTCTCCTAATAGTTTTAAACAAGAAAATTGTCACAATTGGCTATATTTTGGCATAGCTTGCTTATTCCATTTAGTTAGCTGCTAGGCTCCCCCCTTGATCCCCTCTTCTTTCCTCTTCATAGTTGTTTTCTTTAAAGCATGAGAGTCACGTACCTTTTTTTTTTTAAATGAGAGTCTGATGTTACTACAAATGGAATAGGTTCTTAAACTAATTTATATGATGGGAAGTGGGAGGTCTGAGGAGATAGAGTACAAAATTGCCATCTAGGAGACTTGGAAAGTAAATGAGTTGAGGGAACATACTGTGATTGAGCATTTAGGACCCAGGTGAGGTACCAGGCCGTGGATTGACATGAGACTACTCTCTGCCTTTTTATCTTTTAGTCTTGCCGTGCTTAATCTGCAAGTATACAGACCAGGAGTGAGTACAAAGTTTGAGTTAATCAATGTTACGGGTTTGCCAAAGAGATAAAAGCTAGATGAGAATAAAATGAGGACTAAGGTAAAGATGAGGACTAAGGTCCTATGTAAAGATGATGGACAGTAGAGCTGTGTGATGCCTGTTTGGTCCTTGGTGGACTCCGGCTCAGTGGCCCAGAGAGTGCCCTGTTCTGAGCCATTCTCACCGTCTCTCTTAGGCCCGAGTACATTGTCTGAGTCACTGTCAGTCCATTTGGTGACATTTGTTTTTCCTTTCTGAGGGATGATCTCAAACCAGAATTGGATACTGTTGTGATTTCAAAGGTTTTAATGTATACATGTAAATGAATTTTTCATCTAACGGAGAGAATTAGTGAACTTTGACAAACTTAGTGGCCAGGGTCAAGAACCAGTCTTACCTGTGAGCAGTAATTTTTGTTATTGCAATCATCTTAATAAAGTATCCTCTATCTGGGGTTCATGGCTAGGCTGTGAAATTGTATGCATGACGTCTGGTGTTATTTTTGCTGAAATGTTTTATGGATTCCTTATTTATGAGCTACTGATAGATATATAGGAAACTCTGATGGCTTTGTATAAGGAATTGTGCTGCCACCCAGAGGTATTTGGTTTGAATCCACCAACTGTTCCATAAGAGAAATGGGCACTCTCCTTCTGTGTGATTTACAGCCTCTAAAACCCAATGGAGGGTCAACTATGAGTTGGTTCCCACTTGATGGAACACAGCAGCAACAATCAGTATATAAACAAAAAACTATTTGCATAACAAAAAATAAAAAGTTTTTAAAATTAGTGTAGATTTTAAAGCTAGGCCATCAAGAGAATTCTGTATTGATAGAGCAAAACCAAAGTTAACTTGTCCTTCTGTTTTCAGAGATGCAGTGTCTTTGAAGATAAGTGAGTATTAGCTTGTAACTTAATGGCTAAGAAAGAGTGCTTAAATATTTCTTTGTAAAATTAATTTGAGCTAATTGTGTTCTTCTTAAATTCTAGTACATGACTCTCAATCCTTCTACCAAGAGGAAAAATACTGGATCCCCAGACCGGAAGCCCTCAAAGAAAACCAAAACTGACACCTCTTCTCTCACTTCACCACTAAATCCTAAGTTATGGTGCCATGTGCACTTGAAGAAATCTTTGAATACTTCTCCTCTCAAAGTAAAGAACTCAAAGAATTCCAAATCTCCAGAAGACCATCTAGAGGAAGTGATGAAGATGATGTCACCCAACAAACTCCACACTAACTTTCACATTCCGAAGAAAGGCCCAGCTGCTAAGAAGCCAGGGAAGCACAGTGACAAACCTTTGAAGGCAAAGGGCAGAAGCAAAGGTATTCTGAATGGACAGAAATCCACAGGGAATTCCAAATCTCCCAAAAAGGGGTTGAAGACTCCTAAAACCAAAATGAAGCAAATGACTTTGTTGGATATGGCCAAAGGTACTCAGAAAATGACACGAGCCCCACGGAATTCTGGGGGTACACCTAGATCTTCTAATAAGCCTCATAAACATCTGCCTCCTGCTGCGCTCCACCTCATTGCCTACTACAAAGAAAACAAAGACAGGGAGGACAAGAAGACCGCCCTGTCCTGTGTTATCTCCAAAACAGCTCGTCTTCTGTCCAATGAAGACAGAGCTCGTCTCCCGGAAGAACTTCGAAATCTTGTTCAGAAGCGCTATGAGCTTCTAGAGCACAAAAAGAAATGGGCCTCCATGTCTGAAGAGCAGCGCAAGGAATATCTGAAAAAGAAACGAGAGGAGCTGAAAGAGAGGTTGAAGGAGAAAGCCAAAGAGCGGAGAGAGAAAGAAATGCTTGAGAGGCTCGAAAAGCAGAAGCGGTTTGAGGACCAAGAGTTGCCTGGCAGAAACCTTCCGGCATTCCGACTGGTAGATACTCCCGAAGGGCTGCCCAACACCCTCTTTGGGGATGTGGCCATGGTGGTGGAATTCCTGAGCTGTTACTCTGGACTGCTCCTCCCAGATGCTCAGTATCCTATTACTGCTGTGTCTCTTATGGAAGCCTTGAGTTCAGATAAAGGTGGCTTTTTATATTTGAATAGGGTATTGGTCATCCTCTTGCAGACCTTATTACAAGATGAAATAGCAGAGGACTACGGTGAACTGGGAATGAAGCTGTCAGAAATCCCACTGACTCTGCATTCTGTTTCAGAGCTGGTGCGGCTCTGCTTGCGTAAATCTGATGTTCAGGAGGAAAGCGAGGGTTCAGACACAGATGACAAAGATTCGGCACCATTTGAGGACAATGAAGTACAAGATGAGTTTCTGGAGAAGTTGGAAACATCTGAATTTTTTGAGCTAACATCAGAGGAGAAGCTGCAGATTTTGACTGCCCTCTGCCACCGTATTCTTATGACTTACTCAGTGCAAGACCACATGGAAACTAGACAGCAGATGTCTGCAGAACTGTGGAAGGAACGGCTAGCTGTGTTGAAGGAAGAAAATGATAAGAAGAGAGCAGAGAAACAGAAACGGAAAGAACTGGAGGCCAGGAATAAGGAAAATGGAAAAGAGGAGAATGGGTTAGGAAAAACTGATCGGAAAAAAGAAATTGTGAAATTTGAACCCCAAGTAGATATGGAAGCTGAAGACATGATTAGTGCTGTGAAGAGCAGAAGGCTGATGGCCATTCAGGCCAAGAAGGAACGAGAAATCCAAGAGAGAGAATTGAAAGGTAAGATCTTGTGCTGAGAAAAAAGAAGGCTTAGCACTTAGTTAGGAGAAGGAAGAGAATTGCCAAGGTCTTTTGTTTTGTCAGCAGAGGTTCATTATGTCCTTTATACTCGGCACTCTTCCTGGGTCAACAATAGCCTGGAAGGAATGTCAACCCTGGCATTCTTCAGTTACTGATTGTCTGAATTGGACTGATACTGCTGTCCTTGGATTTAGTAAAGAGCCAAACCCACAGATTGGCAAAGTGAAAATAATACTTGGACATTAGTGACCTAGGTTTAAATCCTAGCTTTGGCTTAGCTATATGCCTTTGAGTAGATTATGTAATCTGTACCTCAGTATCTTATATATGCCTGATAAAATTGTTAGAAATTAAGGGACAAGATATTTTTTTTGTAAGAGACCTTTTTTTATTATTATTTTTTCTTTTTTAAAAAAATAATTTTAATAAGCATTTACAAAGATGGGACAAGATATTTTGAAGCCTTTAGCATTATTATGAACTAACTTCTATCAGATCCTAACTTCTCCTTTTTTTGAAGATTTTTAAAAATTTTGGGCTTTCATGGTACCATTCATCAGAATTTGTGTGTGTGTGTGTATGTATGTATGTAATCGTACCATCAAATCAGATCTGACTGGTGCAGGAGGAGATTGTCCCTCCTTCTCCAGCAGAGCATCTGGTGGAATCAGACTTTGTACCTCTGGGATTGCAGTGCAGTTTCTTGCCACTAGGCCACCAGAGCTCCCTCAGAATTTTTTTTTAAAAAAGCTTTCTCGAACTCTGTTTCACATACCATTTAGTGGGTTTCTAGAGAAAACCATTCAGTCTATAATTTAGTGCTTTTTTTTAGTATACTTTAGGTATATGCAGCCATCAGAGCAGTCAACTTGAGGTCTTCCTCATCACTACAAAGAGACCCCTTCTGTGTCTTTGCTGCCAACTCCCCCTCCTTCAACCCTAAGTAGTTACTAAGCTGCTTCTGTCACTGCAGATCTCCCTTTGTTGGACATCACATATAAATGGTATCATAAGTGATGGCTTTTTGACTGACCTCTTTCACTTAGCATAGTATTCTCAGGGATCATTCTCAGTGTAGTATGTATGGCTATTTCATTACTTTTATGTCTGTAATATTCCATTATAGGAATAATCCTATATTTTGTTTCTCTAAATAGTTGATGAATATTTGGGTTGTTTCTACTTGTTAAGAATTCTTCTGGGAACTGTGCTTTATGAACTTTTGTTAATATTATAAATTTTCTTCTTGGCTAGACAGTCAAGTCCCCCTCCTCCTCGCCACCCCAGTGCCTGGTGTGGAATGACTGGGTAAATGTTTAAGCAACAAGGAACTAACTGCCAGGCAGTCCTCAGTGCCTTTATCCTTTACATTGCCATTTGTGTATGAATGTTTGGAAGAATTTAGAACTGAAATTTATCAGTTTTACCTTCTGATGACCCTCCAGTGGATTTCTGAGTTTGCATATCTTAATGGGAGGGAAGGGCTTCACCTAGGCTCCGTCTGGCTCCCGTGGAACACCTCTTTTGAGTTTGGAGTTGCTGACCTTTGGATTAGAAGCCCAATACCTAACCTGCTATCTCGCTGTGCTCTTTTTCTAGGTCTTAATTGTGTGTTTCTTTTTCCATGTTAAATTTTATTGTTGTTGAGATATTTGGGGAAAAAAATACACCAGTTTCTACATGAATAGTTCAGTGGACTGATTATATTCTTTGAGTTATGTGACCATTCTCACTGTCCTCATTCCTTCTTCACTCACTGCCCCTTAAGGTTCCTGTCTTAAGCTTTTGAAATGAACTACTGTTGTCATTTACCCCATAATGATAGTTCTTAAAAGAATGACTTATTCAGTGCAGTTTTGTTATACGTTTAAAGTATTCCGTTTTAAGATGACTTGAAGGTTATTTTTTGTTTACAGTTTAGGGCATACTTTCAGGGATTTGTCTAACTTTATGGCTCCAGAAAGTTGAGAGTTTGTGAAAATTTTCAATTCTTGTCTGCATTTTCTCCCCCACCTTGTGATCAAGATTCTTCTATATGTTCTTTAATTGAAAAAATTAGTACTAGCTATGTTGTTGTTGTTTTGTACCATTGAGTGGGAACAGCTGACCCTCCTGTGGGTTTTCAGAGTCAGTTAATCACAAGGGAGGAGATTGCCCATCCTTCTCCCGCAGAGCAGCTTGTGGATTTGAACCATGTGCTTTTGAGATTGTAGCACAGTTTCTTGCCACTAGGCCACCAGAGCTCCCTAGTATTAGCTATATATCACCTAGATTTTGTCTTAAGGCAGAGGAAGTCTGTTACAGAGGCCATTGGTCATACATTCCATGTTGGGAACTGTCAAGTCAGTTCTGACTCATTGCAACCCTATGTATAGGAGAATAGACACTGCCTGCCATGGCCTCTACCTTCCTTGCCATTCCTGCTCTGCTTGAGCCAAATGTTATAGTAACTTAGTTCATTTTGTTGAAGTTGTTTTTTTGGTTTTTTTTGGGTGTGTGTGTGCGTGTACCGTCAAATCAGATCTGACTGGTACAGGAGGAGATTGCCCCTCCTTCCCCGGCAGAGCATCTGGTGGATTCGAACGGCGCACCTCTAGGATTGTAGTTGTAGCTTCTTGCCACTAGGCCACCAGAGCTCCCCTAAGTTGTTTCTTTTTTGCTGACCCTGTCAAAGAACTTTCACCAGTTGTACTTTTAATGACTATACAACATCTTTAGTCATTGTGTAACCCATGCTGACTTTAAGTAATCAGATTTTCCCATATTTGCCCTTTTGTTCCCTCCTCCTGCTCCTGGTAAGCAGACAACTTTGGCCTCTGTCCACTTACCCTTCTCTTACTGTTTTACTTAAATGAAGACATATTTATGCTTGCCTTATTTCACTCAGTATAGTGTCTTCAGGTGCCATCCATATTGTAAGGTTGTGTGTTAAGACTTATTTTTTTATTTTTTAAAAAAGCCAAACTATTTTTCAGTTTTCCTTCTAGTGGAGTAGTGTCCCGGTGTATGTGTGCACCGCATTCTCTGGTTTGCATTCATCTGTTAAATCCTGGCTCTATTTAGTCCCTTTTTGAATCCCGGCTTGCAAGTCTTTTGGGGTGTATGCCTGGGACTAGAATTGTTTGGATGGTTTGTACAAGTTTTGAAGCCAGGAAGTCATCCAGTTTGCTCTTTTAGAACATTCTTTGGTTATCCTAGGTCTTGTGCAAGAATTTTTGACCCAGTTTGTCATTTTCAAAAAGATTCCCATTGGGATTGTGTTGACTTGTTAGACCTATTTTGGTAGCAGTTTAGTAGTTGGTTTTGGTTTTAGTTACGTGGTGTCAGGTCAGTTATGACTGATAGTGACTATTGAATGACATGTCAAAACCTTACACTATGGTGCATCATCCAATCTCTGCCAGCTCAGACACAATTGTAGTCACTGGGTTGGTCCTGTCTCATTGAGTCTTCCAGCCTTTAGCCAGTGCTCTGTTTTCCAAGCATGAGGTCTTTCCAGAATCTGACTTCTGACAACATGCCCAGAAGTGTGGAAGACAGTCTCTCCATCCTTGTTCTCTCTGGAGCACCCTCATTGCACTTCCTCTAAGACAGATTTGTTCTTTTGGCACTTTCTAGTATAGTCAGCACTCTTTGCCACTACCACTCACTGTTCAGAGTCATGGATTCTTCCTTGGTCTTAATCTTTGCCCAACTTTTAAATACATAGGAAGCAAGTGAAAATACCATGAGTTGGATCACACATACTTTAGTCTTTAACTTGATCTTTTTGTTTTTTAAGAACTTTAAAGAGTTCCTTGACAGCAGATTTGTCTGCTGCAACATGTGTTTGTATTTCTTGATTACAGCTACCATGGATTTTTATTTTGGATCAAGTAAGATGAAATCTTTGAAAACTCCAAGCTTTTCTTCATCTCTCATGATGCTTCCTGTTGGTCCAGTTGTGAGGATTTTTGTTTTCTTGTTGAGACATCCATATTGAAGGCTGTCCTATTTTTTCCCTTCTTTACTAAGTGCTTCAAGTTTTCTTCCACTTTCTGTAAGCAGAGTTTTTCTATATAATGTAGGTTATTGAGGAGTTCCTCCAGCTGTGATGCCACGTTCTTCAAAGTATTTGCTCAGTGTACAGATTGAATCAGTCCTTCATTGGGTGAAAACTTGACTCCCAATAAAATGGCTTCAGTGTTAGCTTCAATTCTGACTGGAATTGTGACTTTACTGGAAAACACACACTCTTACATTTTATTTTATTGTGATTTTTTATTTATTCATTGTTGCACATTTTCTTCCCCCTCCTCCTCTAGTTTTCCCGTCAGTGCTCCCCTTGTTCCGGATTCTTGTCATACATAAAATGCCTAAGCAAATAAAAAAAAAAGTTAAAAAAAAATGCCTAAGCATATATTCCTTTCTTATCGTTCTTCCCTCATCTGATCTAATGCAGTGTTCATTATATAGCTACCCTAACCTCCTCCCCAATATCTGTCCTCTATTTGTAACAGTGGTGTTACACAGTATTTGTACTTTTGTTACCAAGATTATTTCACTCATCATAATGTCTTCCAGGCTCCCCTATCTTGTATAATGTTTTATGAGCTCATTGTTTTTTGATGCTGTGTAATACTCTATTGTGTGACTGTACCATAGTTCTTTCCATTTGTTTGATGGGCAGTTGGGTCGCTTTCATCTCTTTGCTATTGTCAGTAACTCAGCAGTGAACATGAGTGTGTATACATCTGTTTGAGTCATGACTCGGGTTTCTTTAAGGGTGTATTTCTAGTAGTGGAACTGCTGGGTTAAATGGCATTTCTATTTCTAATGCCAGACCGCCTTCTGTAGTGGCTGTACCATTTTACATTCCCGCCAGCAGTGAATAAGAGTTCTAATCTCCACAAGCTCGCCAGCCTTTGTTGTTTGAACTTTGCTATTGTTGCTGGATGTACTGGATTTCTGAGGCTGTAAATAATTGATTACGGAGCTCTGGTGGCTTAGTGATAGCAAATTGTGCTGCCAGTCCAAAGGTACTTGGTTTGAATCTGCCATCTCTTCCATGGGAGAAAGATGAGCAGTCTCCTGTTGTGTAATTTACTGCCTCTTAAAACCTCCTGGAGAATCACCTTTGAGTTTATTCCAACTCAGTGGTACACAACAACAAATCTTTATCTGGTGCAGCTGGTAGATTTGAATCCCTGGCCTTTTTGTATTGTAGCATGTAATACACCGCGTCACCAGAGCTCCTTCTGTGAAGATTATAGCCTTGGCAGCTCTGCTCCACTCTGAAGGACGCTGTGTGTCACAGTTGATTTGGGAGCAGTGAGTTTGTTTGGGTTTTGCTTTATTCTGTTATTTATGCGGGTCTTGAAGGATCTTGTGACTTCTATCAGAAAATGTTCCACTTTCTCCAGGATTACATGAAATACTTTAGTTGAAAGTTGATTTTTAGAGAAGATCCTTAACTTCGAAGCAGCTCTGGTGATGTCGTCTATAGGAAGTTGCGCTGCAGATCCACAGACTTCTCTTGACTATCGGCTCTGAGAGAAAGATGGGCACTCTACTCCCATGCAGATCACAGCCTCTGAAAACCTGCTAGAGGGTTGGCTACTCGATATCGATGAATAATTAAGTGATGTTTGCATGAGTCGATGACTGACACCTTCAAAACTCAGCATGTGTAGGAAGAACAGATATGGCTATTTTTTTTTTAATTCTGATTTATTTACAAAGTTTGAATACATTGTTGTTCACAAAAGATGCTTCCCATTTTGTTCACCCCACCCACAACTCATCGAATTGTGCAAGGCCATGATTAACACCTACGCCCCTTCTAGATAACTACTATTTTTTGTTATTTTTTTTATACTGAATTAGAATTAGGAGAAGGAAACTGATGTTTTATGAACATTTGTATCAGGAATTTTAATTTTGTGTCATTTTTATTTGCTCTCATTCAGCATAACATTTTTATCATTCACAGTGAAGTTAGAACGAGAGGCTGAAGAAGAACGAATACGGAAACACAAAGCAGCGGCCGAGAAGGCTTTCCAAGAAGGAATTGCGAAAGCAAAACTGGTCATGAGGCGCACTCCTATTGGGACAGATAGAAACCATAATAGGTAAGTTTCAGATGTAACTTAATGTAACTTTTGTCTTGTTGGGAGGTTACGATGCTATTAGTTATGGAATTGTCTAAAGTATTTAGAAGAGACAAGTTTTCACTGATGATACAAGATGAAATATTTACTATATCAAATGTTAAGATTACACCTTTGAATAAAACATGTCCCTTCAGTTGAGGATCTTAAAAATAAGAAACAGATTGTAGGGATAGAGTAAATCTATTTCAGATTATGCCATTATTCTTTATCAGTCTGGAGTTTAGAGCAAGGGGTTCTCTCTACTGTGGTTACTATGTATGCCCCTGATATTCTGGAAAATTTTTCCTAGTAGTAAAGTTATTCTCCTCTCCTGATTTCATTACCTGGCTGTGTGGTTGTGATTTGTAGATACTGGCTCTTCTCAGATGAAGTTCCAGGATTGTTCATTGAAAAAGGATGGGTCCATGACAGTATTGACTACCGATTCAGTCATCACCGGAAAAGCCACTTGGATTCTCCAGACGAAGATTACTATCCCCGAAGTAAGTGGATTTAGTATTACTATACACTGCTTCAGGAGAGTCAGTGTTAAAGATTCCCTGTCCTCTCTCATTTTTTCCCCATAAAAAGCTATATTTTGATTGACTCTTTAATGATAAAAGTATCTTTTAAAAATTTTAATGTTATTTGTGTTTAAGATTACAGAGCAAGTTAGTTTTTCATTCAACAGTTGGAGTGCCTTCTGCTTTAGGCATTGACTCCTATTCCCACAGTGTAGCAACACTCTCCCTGTGTTTGACTTTTCTCAGTTTTATCCCTGGAAAATGCTGCTCTTTTATCTCCTGTGGTTGATTTTTTTTTAAAAAAAAAACACAACAAAACAAACCACAAAACCCACTCTCTAGTAATTTTATTATCTCCAATTTTATGATAACATGTTCTACTTTACACATTGTTTATATTTGCCATTTCCATAATCCAATTGAAAAAACTCCCTTATAAGGTGAAAAGTAAGTTCTCTGGAATGTTTTTAGTTAAACCTGCAGGCAGCAACATTTAAAACATTTAATGTTTACTACACAGATAAAATTGGAAATTGCATGGCAATTGTAACATGACAAGAATGATTTGTACTCCTCATAGGCTTCCCAACCCCCTCTGTGAGGCAGTAATTCAGTCCTCATGACACTGACATAATAGTGTGAAATACCATCAGTACTTAACTGTCCACAAATAGTGAACCGGTGCAAGTATCTAGTTTCAAATTAGATCCCTTAGGATATCGTAAAAAGGAAGCTGATGATTTTTGCCTTAAACACAATAATTGAGATTATGTATTTTTTAGAAGGGGAAAAGATAATTTGGATATTCTTCAAGACTCATACTTGTCTCTCAGTTTTTTGCAAAATAGTATTACACGTTTCATAAAATTAATACAGTAATCGTGTTGTTTTTATTGTCCCAGATCTTGTGGAACAATAATTATCTCTCCATTAAGTACGGCATTTCATGGCTATGAGGATGATAATCACTGGAAAAAGATAAAGAGCAGCTGTTCCATTTGGCTTCAAAGTCATTGGAATCTTTGATAAAAGCGACTGCATTATATAATCTTCTACAACTAGTGCTTTACCTTACAATGCTTTATAAATTTGCTTAAACACAGTTGTAATAATATCATCTTAATATTAAGGGTGGACTGGTGGGTTAGTTGGCAGAGTTACTCTGCTAACCTGAAAGCAGGTGGTTCGAATCTACCAGCTGCCCCACAGGAGAAAAGTGTGCAATCTCGTGTGATTTACATCTGCAGAGTTATTTATCTATTCTTCATCATTCTAAGTTTTGATACTGTTACACTATTGAATTCTGTTATTCTGCAGAGAGCAAGTGCCTCAGGGAGTGTGCTACAAGATACTGGAGAGAAACTAACATCTGTTGTTTGTGTGGATATATTTAATAAGTAGTATCTGCATTGGCTGTTGGCTTTGGTGCTATGTACTGCTAAGGTAAAGAAAAAATGTGGTATTCTATTGAACCTAATGTAAATCTTTCTTAGGTAAGAAAGCAAATGTCGGCAAAAATGCAAACATGAATACCCAGCATGGGCCAGCAGGAGAGACTGCTGTGGAGAATACCATACCCAAACAAGGACAGAACCTATGGTAATGTGAGCATTCAGCTGGTTGCTCTTTTTCCTTCTATATGTTTAGAAAGAAAGAGTTTAATGTTGTGACCACCAGTGAGTTAAGTAATTACCTCTAATGACACTTGGGAGGGCTTTTGATTTCTTAAGTGAATTTTAAACTTACTGCTTTAAAAGTTTTAAATCTCACGGTTCAAATCCACCAGATCCTCTGCTGGAGAAGGAGGAACAATCTCCTCCTGTACCAGTCAGATCTGATTTGATGGTACACACAAAAAATAATGAAATAAAATTTTTAAAAAGGTTTTAAATCTGTTGTTAAAAAATATGACAGACATGGGAGGTTTGTGGAGAGAATGGGGAAAAAGGATAGATGATGAACACTGTATTAAAAGAGATGAGAGAAAGAACATGGCAGAAGGAATGTATGATTAGGCGTTATGTGTCCAGGCAGTAGTCTGGAACAAGGGGTGCATTGGTGGAGTTGCAGGAGGGGGAAAGGAAGGGAGTGAGGGAGGGGGCAGAAAATGTGCAACAATAAATAAAAATAATAATTAAAGGACTTTAACTCATTGTTAGTTAAATGAGTTAGAGCTGACTCCTAGCACGCTTTCCCGAGGCTGTAAATTACATGGGAGGAGATTCCACATCTTAAAGAGCTGCTGCTGCTGCATTTGAACCACTAAAGAGGGTGCCCCCTTTGGGCAAGTTAATAGCACACCTTACTACAAACAACACTTTTCTGTTTTAAAAGTAGACAAGATTAATTCATAAGAAAATACCTCTTTTCCCCTAAAATTGGAATTTGATTTTCTAAAAAGGTTTGTATGTTATGTGCTCCAACACTCACTCAGTTTGTCAAGCTGTGGTGGTGTATTTGTTGCTGTGATGCTGGAAGCTGTGCCACCAATTTTTCAAACACCAGTAAGAGTCCCCCCCTTGATGCACAAGGTTCAACAGAGCTTCCGGACTATAAGGCAGGGAAGCAAGACCAGCTATACACCTGTGGAATAATGGACCTTTGAAAAGCTCAAAGAGTAGCAGCGGACCATTGTCTGATAAGGTGTTAGCTTAGGGCACTCCATTTGGAAGGTCCTCAGAATACTAGTTGGGGAGAGCTGCTTCCTCGGAGTAAATGCCACACCATCCACTGTCTTTGAGTCAGGGCCTGTTCAGAGTGACCCTCCATTGAGGTTTTCAGGCTGTCTTTAATGGAGGACACTGCTCATCTTTCTCTGGTGGTGCCACAGGTAGAGTACAGCTGCACATCTTGTGATTATTCATTGGCACAATCCATTACACACCTCAGGGATCCATCCAGATGGAGTGTACCTTCACTATAGGAATGAAGTAACAATCTCCGCCAGTGAGTCTTTACTTCCCTTATTGATGTGGCATGACGTAAATGAGAAACAGCTGCACACGTCCACTAATAATCGGATGTAGACTCTAGGAGATACAAAGCTGGAAATTGCAAAACTGCAAGTATTTACAATTGAAACTAATTCAAAAAATGAAACAAATTTGTTTTAAAATTGAACTAAAAACTAGGAAATTAGAAGTTGTGAAAAATGAAATGGCAAGCATAAAGATCCCATCCTAGATGTGAGTGAAAATGGTCTTGTATTGGCCATTTTGACTCTGATGGCCATATATAGTCACTGTTGAAAGAGCATTTCAAGATCTATACGGAAATATTACCCATTCAGTAATAAGATAATAACCATATGTGTACACAGAAGACCTGTAAATATGATCATTATTCAGAATTATGCTCTTCCTACTAACGTCAAAGCTGGAAAATACTGAGAAAGTACCAATTTCTGCTGTCTGAAATCAATTAGACTGAATCAATTATGACACATCCTCCAGTATAGACCCTCTTTGAGCGAAGACCCTCAACAATGTGTCTTATCAATTGGAAATCGTTTTATATTTTAATGGAGAATGTAACAGGTCTCAATAGAAACCATAAATTCCTTGTTTGGAATTCTGCTCTTCTTACCACTTACCCTACATATCTTTCTTAATGTTTATTTTTTTCAGACTTAGCAAATCTCTTTTGCTTTTACAGGTTTTTGTGTGATAGTCAAAAGGAACTGGATGAGTTACTAAACTGCCTCCATCCTCAGGGAATAAGAGAAAGTCAACTTAAGGAGAGATTAGAGAAGAGGTAAGGATTTCTCCCCTATTTTCCTCCTCATCTTTAATTAGATATTGTAAATATGTTAGATTTTCTTGTTTATCCATAAAAGCTATTAAAGTTTAAGAAAAATTAACACCATGACCACATTTAGACATAGCAGTTCTTCTGTGTTCCCACTTTTGCATACACATGAAGCATAATGTGGCTTAGATCAGCTGTACCTTAGGCTTGAAAGTGACTTAGCCTTGCTCTAATTTAGCACGTTAAAGATGTGCTTTGCTGCAGATTTGCCCCATTTGGTATGTTGTTTGGTTTTTAACTAATGCTTCCATGGGCTTTGATCATAGGTCCAGGGAAAAGGCAATTCTTGACAACTTCAATCTTTCCTTTTGTTTATCATGATACTGTCTGTTGGTCCAGTTGTGAGGAATTTTTGTTTTATTTATGCTGAGATGCAATCCTTACTGAAGGTTATAGTCTTTACATTAATAAGTTCCTCAGTTGTTCATCTTCAGGAAGCAAGGTTGTATTACCTACATAGTACAGATTATTACTGTGTTTTCCTCCTGTCCTAATGTCACATTTCTCTCCATGTAGTTAAGCTTCTCAGACTATTGACTCAGTTGACAGAGTAATTAGATGTGGTGAAAGGCTACAGCCTTGATGTACATCTTTTCTCCTTTTAAGCTCTGTAGTATTCCTGAGTTGCCTGCTTCTTGGTCTGTGTACACTGTGTTCTGCAGTGGGCTTCAGTTCCATTTTTTAGTGTTACCTGTGATTTGTTATGATCCACACAGTTGAACGCCTTTGCATACTCAGTGAAACACAGGCAGACATCTTTGTGGTATTTACTGCTTTCAGCCAGAACCCATCTCACCCCAGCAATGATAGCCTTTATTCCCCAGCCTCTGTTGAATATGGCTTGAGTTTGTGATAGTTCTGTGTTCATGTAGTATTTTAAAAATTCTATGACTTCCTCATTCTGTTAGATACCCTTTCTTTAGATTATGTGTTGGTATCTCCTAGGAGGTTTGCCGGGTAGTAGCATCTCAAGTTCTTGGCATAGATACGTGCCAGCGCTGCAGTCCTTATTAAAACAGCTCAGTTGGTCTTCCTTCAGTTGCTGGGACTCTGATTTTTGCCAATGCTTCCAGTGCAGCTTGGGCATTTTCCTTCAATGTCATTGAGTTTTGATCATATGCTATCATCATGAAATGATTCAGCATCGCCCAATTCTTTTTGGTACTGGGTTCATTCCGTTTTCTTTAGGTGTCTCAGTTATCCTTCATTTTGGCAACTCAGGGCTTGAATTTTTTTCTTCAGTTCTTCAGCTTGAGCAGTGCTTAATTTATGTTACTTTTTTGATTTTCTAACTCCATATCTTTTTTACAAAGCATATTTTACTCTTATCTGCTGCTGCTGTTGCTCTTTGACATCTTCTGTTCATTGTTTTAGCTTCTCGGCATTCTGTTGCAGGTTTTGGAGTCTCTCCTGATACCGGTTTAATTTTTCCTGAGTTTTTAATGACCTATTACTTTCTTTGAATTCTGATGGCTAAGAGATCAGTTGTTGGGCTGCCACCCCAAAGGCAGGTGCTTTAAAACACCAGCTGTTCTGCAAAAAAACAAAAAAAGTAGAAACTTTCACGATACATTATCTAATCGTGTTGTCCTTAAATCAGGAATAAATTTTATAGAGATGGTCAAAATGCTATCATCTGGTAGTAAATTAATTATTTTTTTAATAACTTACAGAGGAGCTAAAATTCAGTTTAAGGGGCTCTGATATATAGAAAGAATTGAAAGGAGAATAACTTATTGGAAGACCAGTGTGACATTGTGGAGTTATAAAAAGTTTAAATACTTTTTTTTAAGAAAGAAGAAAAAGTATTCAATTCAGGTGACCTTGAGCTTTGGTTTGTAGGTCTCTTGGTATAAAAACCCAGCCACAACAAAGCTTATCACCCACTCAGAGTAGAGGATTGTTACTGATTCTGTCTTAGTGGGCAGAAGAACATCATTTCTCTTTGAATTTTGCAGCTCAAATTCATGTCTCTTGTGTATTGTGACAAATTCCAAGCAGATGATTTAAAGTTACTGCTGTTTCGGAGCAGTTTTGGCAGCTGGTAAATTCACATTCTTGGTGGAGGGACACAGCTTGAATCCAAGTTTAAAAGAACTTAAACAGAGAAAATTGCTCACACACCCATACAAATCACCAAGTAACGCAGACAGGGTACCATGAATAAAAGCAGCAGACTTCATATTTTACAATTCTCAAATACATAATGAAATGTGTATATCTGGAAACAATTAAGAATTGAGAGAGATTTGAAAGTTGGGGCAAGAGATGCAAAGATGTCCTGCCAAGCTTTGGACAACCACCGAGAAATGAGTGGTTCATACAGTTAGCTGCTGTGCTGGAGAAGGATGAGGCAACCTTGGAATATCTGCGAGTCAGTTAACATTTTCAGCAGTTTCACTGAATTGTACACTTAAAATTGGTTAAAATGACTTTTCCTTCTCTTTAGCATAGTAAAATTAAACTCTAGATTCTTCAAATTAGTGACGTTTTAAAATCATTCACTATCTCTGTGTCCTCTAGGTACCAGGATATTATTCACTCCATCCATTTGGCCCGGAAGCCAAATTTGGGCCTGAAGTCCTGTGATGGTAATCAGGAGCTCTTGAACTTTCTGAGAAGTGATCTCATTGAGGTTGCAACAAGGTTACAAAAGGGAGGACTTGGCTATGTGGAAGAAACATCTGAATTCGAGGCTCGGGTAAGAGCTGAGGGAACATCCTTTTGTGTGTGCACCTTCCCGGACATCCCTTCCGGACTTTTGTGGTTTAGGTTCCCATTCAGCAGTTTGTGGAGAAGTTCAGTCACACTGGTGACTTCACGGCGAGTGAACATTCTCACTATTGCTGTTCTAGTTATTCAATTTTCATCAATATAATTTCTTTGTCCTTAAGACCCTCCATTCTCACCTTTGCTTTAATAATTCATGCAAAGTAATAATTGATGCTTGGTCTCATATGAAATGATAGATTTATTGAGGGAGTTTTGCTCCCAGTGTGAAGGCAGGTGGTTCAAATCCACTCACTGTTCTGTGGAGAAAAATGGGCAGTCTTCTCCTTTACAGTTAGTTTACAACCTCTGAAAACCACTCTGGGGTCAGCTATGAGTCGGTTCTGACTCTACTGCAATGAATTTTTGAGTGAGTACATACAAGTGATTATTTTTTTTGTGCCAGTGTGTTACGTGGCTACCATAGAAATTTGAGGGTTTTTTTCTGTCCAGTATATATCAGGGAAATAGTCTTAGAGAATCCTCCAATTTTAAACAATCTGGTAGGAATGAGTGTTTCCCCTCTGTAATCTGAGGTTTTGTTCCACATTTTTAGAAGTCTGGTGATGCTGTCTCTATCTGAATATTGACGCTGCCTTGCTGCTTCATGGGAGAAAGATGAGGTTTCTAAAGAGTGAGGGCGTTAGAAATCCTAGAGGGTGGTTTACTGTGTCCTTCAGCTCCCTTTGAGTCGGAGTCATCTCAGTGGCAGTGGGTTTTAGTTTGAATTCCCCCCCCCCCAATGCTGTCAGGGTCCATCTAGTGTAGCCCTGATGGAGATGTCCCACCAGGCTAGGATCTTATCCTTCACATGCAGAGATCCAGTGCTGGGCGGTATTTAGTTAGGTTCTCAAGGGTATTCGTAAATATTTATAAATATGCCCCACCTTGTTATGTGCCATTGAGTCAGAACTGATCCACGGCTGACCCTCCAACAGGGTTTTTTTTTCCTTCTTACTGTATACTGTTGAGTCAGATACTAAAGGCACAGGAGGAGATTGCTCCTTCTCCAGTGGAGCATGTGGTGGATTTGAACCACACACCTTCATGATTGCAGCGCAGCTACTTGCCACTAGACCACCAGAGCTCCCTCCTCCAGCAGGTTTTGAGAGACTGAATTGCATGGGGGTAATATGCCCATCCTTCTCCCACAAAGCATCTGGTGGATTCCAACTGTATGTCTTTGAGATTGCAGCACAGTTTCTCAGGACTAGGCCCTGAGAGCGCTCTAAATATGCCTCATACAGGTTCATTATTATATATACGAATTGATATTACATACTCTTGAGTAGGAGCCTGACTTGTAGTTGACCTTTTAGTGGGTTTTTAGAGGCAGTAACACACAGGAGGAGATTGCTGAGCTTTCTCCTGTGAAGCAGCTGGTGGATTAAAACCAAGTGCCTTTGGGTTGCCGAGACATCTCCTTACCAGGAGATCATCAGAGCTCCCTGCATATGTCAGTGTTATTATTGTGTTGTCAGGTTGACTGCAACTCAGAGCAACTGAGCGAACAGATCTGAACCTGATCTTGTCTCATTATCTGCACCATCTCCAATATTACAGTAACACTGCCAGTCTGTCTTCTACACTGACTCTCGACCTTTTTTCCAAGCCTGATACCCTTCTTCATGGATTGGATCCTACTACATGCCAAACCTAGCCTTTGACCAGTATTGGGTTATAATTGTTTTCTTTTTGTAGGTATATCTTAACGGGATGTCTTGGGGGACTGAAAAGATAGTGTGGTGTGTTTAAGAGCGTAATTTTGATCATGTGATTTGTTTTTTCATCTGCAAAATGGATGTGAAGGTCAGATGAAAGTTGAAGTATGTGAAAACTTCTTACTGGTGCACGGTAAATTTGACTCTTCTAGGCTTTTCTTTGCATCAGAACTGTAGCGTGCCCACATACTATGTTATGTGACTTTACATGGAGGCCGTCTTCTCACACACAGAAACCCTTCCTGGGAATATGCAAGTAGTCACTTGCTTGTTAAATAAAAGCTTAAGGCAGCCAGTGAGCCACAGTGAAGCACAGCCAATGAGGTTAACACTGTGTGGCCTTTTTAATATTTGTCTGGATTGATTTTAATCTAGCCTAAGGTGATATCTTTCGTCTTTCTCTTAATCTCATCCTGCTTTCTGAAAATTTCTTGTAGGTTGTATCATTAGAAAAACTGAAGGATTTTGGTGAGTGTGTGATTGCCCTTCAGGCCAGTGTCATAAAGAAATTTCTCCAAGGCTTCATGGCTCCCAAGCAAAAGAGAAGAAAACCCCAAAGCGAAGATTCATCAAAGACTGAGGAGGTGGATGAAGAGAAAAAAATAGCAGAGGAAGCAAAGGTACTCGGTGCTTAAAAATGGAGTTTTATAATCATGTACTGGAATATGATTGGACTTAAAAATGTAACTGTGACCTGAGCCAGTGATGCATTTTTATCTCTTTCCACCAAATTTGTGGTATTTAGTAGTGCTCCGAGCATTGCGTTGGCGCTGCATCTAGGGCTTTTGCCCATGGTCAAAACGACTACCTTCCCTTTTAACAGAGCTGATTCTCTTTCTCAAAGAGGGTAATGGAATTTAAAAAGTGATAGTGCTTCAACAAACTGAAAATCAAACTGCATATAGCTCAGCAATACCCCCCTCCCCCTCCAAGTATGTAAGCAAAATACTTGGAAAGCACAGACTTAGCAGTGTCCACTGTAGCACTGTTCTTTGATCAGACAGCTGCTGCCACTAGACTCTTGTGATTCTGGCCTGGACCCTGCTTGGGCAATGTTACAAAGCTTTGTTTAGCTCTGCCATCAAATGCTCTGAGGTTCTGTACCAGGAGGCCTCTTAAGACCTTTATTTCTTTAACTCCTATGGCTCAGCCAAATAGAAGTATCCTACTTCACTTTTTTTTAAATATAGACAGCAAAAAGGAGAGTACCATTGCAACTTTTCCGACATCGACAGTTCATTGACTTACATATTGACACATAACTGTCCAACAGGTTTTTTAAACCTGCATGGGAGGAGATTGTCCATCTTTCGCTGTTGGAGTCACTGGTAAATTCAAACCAACAGAAATGGAGGTGTGTGTGGAGGGGTGTACACACAGGTACTGTTGAATCAGATCCAACTGGCACAGGAGGAAATTGCCCCTCCTCCAACAGAGCCTCTTGTGTGTTCAAGCCCAGAAATGCCTTTTGAATTAGGAGCACAACTCCCTGCAGCTACACCCCCAGAGCAGCCTGTGTCTCTTCACAGTTGACATTCTTTCTAACATAAGGTTAGGTTTGTGTACAGAAGAGAACCTCTTTGGTAAGAAAAATTTGTCTAGAATTAGCCAGCTGGATTGCATTTAGATGATCTCAGCTTTGTTGACAACATCGAAAGCATCATAGACAGGAGCAAGTCGAACATAGGGCACCTTTTCTCCATCACATCTGATCAGGGTGTAGACCTTGGCCACGTCTACGACATGGAGCTTCTTCACAGCTTGTTTGATCTGCTGCTCGGTGGCTTTGACCTCTACAGTAAACACAAGTGTGTTGTCTTGTCTTCATGGCTGACTTGGTGGTCGGGGAAACTTGATGATGGCAGAGTGGTCAAGCTTGTTTCTGCTGAGGTTGCTCTTCTGGGGGTCTTAGGTCACCAGAATGTGGGTGAGGTGCCGATCATCTTTCTTGTTGTGGTTGTCCTTCAGGACTGCCTTCTTGGCCTTGAACCCTTGCTTTAACTTCCTTCTTTGCTCCCAGCATCATCTTCATCAAGAACCTCTTGACATGATTGATCTCTTTAAGGGTCATTTCCTGTAAGTTTCTTCTTACTGAGACAGTAGCTGTCAAAGTTACTTTCTTTGTGGATACCAAATTCCACAGTCTTCTAAGGTAATGTCTTCTAAGCTTTTCAGATAATACTTGGTTCTTATATTGATTGAGGAGAAAAAGAATATTTTCCAGGTTTAACCTAGGACCTCGACATTACTAAGTGAAAGCCTGGATACTTTCTTGGAAAATCAGCCAGCTTAGCCACCAGATATCCAGTGTCCTGCATGAAATGGCACTGTGCCCTGCCGGCTTCCCACAGGTCAGCTCTGCCTTAACCCTGAAATGTTCTACTGTACTTTGCTTAGAGGTTGGATGGGTTTATAGAAGTCTTTATCTTAGCTTTAGATTCCTCATTTTTAAAAGTAGAATCCCTCTCTTGTAGTTTTTTATTCTAAATAGTTAATTAATACTTTGTTTCCTTTAATTAAATGGAAAAATTGATGTACAATTTGACCAAAATCCTGGGGTTTTTAAAAATTTGTTTAGTTTTGGTTACACTTGTCCTGATAATCTGATTATATGTTTTCTCCTCTGTGAACATTTTTTTTTGTGATGGAATGTAACCTGAAAGCCTCATCCTATCTAGTCCAGGGTATAACATTGTCCTTTGTGTAGTTACACTAAGATCTGTAGTGAATTCAGTACAGTCGGGGGAGCTGCACCTTAACCCAGAGTCTCTGGACAGTTCCGCTCCACTGCAGGAGAAAAATGGGCAGTGTCTTCCTGTTGCGCTTATAGCCTTGGAGCCCAGCCTAGCGGTTTAACAGGCGTAAGTTTGCCTATAAATAGACCCCCCCCTTCTGTGTGCACACTTCCCAGGACTGACTTTATTTACGCGTGTGCTAGTAAATTTCCCCAGCAGACTAGCATGTCTCGCTTCCCAGCAGCAGTGTACGTTGGTTTTTATTGGAAATCACCAGTGTTGGATGTTAAAATGTCTACCTTAACAGTTCTTAATCTGTTGCGTTTTTAAAAAAATTTTATTTCCATGAACGTTTACAGAGACTTTGGATTTCCAGTCATTCATATTTACACACTTTCCTCCCTCTCCACCTCTTTCCCCCAGATCACTTTTCTCTTTGAAAAGTAAAAAATACTCATCCATACAGTGGACTCAACATTGAAAAAGGAACGAAGTTCTAAAGAAAACATACTACGTGCAGCACAGGGTTCCTCTGAGTCACAGTGAACTAGGGCACACAGCACTACAGTGTGAATCAAGCCGGTCACAAAAGGCCATGCATTATGGAATACAGTGTTTAGAAAAGGTTTAGAACAAGCAAATCTGTAGACAGAAAAGAGTTTATATTTGCCTAGTGCTGGGGCAGGTGTTGGGTGTCAGGGAATCGGCTGCTAATGAACTCAAGATTTTATTTCGGGCTGATGTTCTAAAATTAAGAGACAGCTGTACCACTGTGCACATGTATGAAAAACACTTGGCCTTTACAATTACTATACGTATAGAGTAGTTCAGAGGTTAAAGAAACTAACTTCCAAGATCCCTTCTAGTTGTTAACTTCTAGGAAAAAGCTTAGATAATGAAAAGCACTGTAGTATGTGGATTGATTTTTCTTGAGTAACGCTTGACTGTCCACTAGAGGACAGCAGAGCCCATTTGTAGCCATTTCCTGCCTAGTCTTGATAGAACTGAATTTTTTTTCCATTGGAAAAATTGGGTTGTTCTTGGAGAATCTATGCAGTACTCCCTGACAGGAGATGTCCAGTGAGACAGCTGTGACTGGAGACCTTGGGTTTCTCTGAGGAGCTCCCAAGGAGGATGGAAATGGTATTACATTTCAAAGGCTTGTATTACTATATCAGCACTGGAGGCGAGAGTGAGGAATGAGTCTCCTGAATATAGATTTCTTCTAATGTATTTATATTATCTGCACAAACGTACCTGTGATTTTATGTTTTTGTGTTGTTTTTTTTTTTTAAAAAATCCAAAATTCTGTTTATTGAGATAATTTCCCATTCATCTTTTTCTTGCTTCCGTCTGAAAGAGCATCCTTCCAGAAGCCTTGCTTTTCCTCCTCTAGGCTGACAGAACAGTGGAGCAGCCAACACACAAAACTGCTGTGTGCACTTGGCTGAAGACTGGTGATTTTATAGCATCCTGGCCCTTTCACATCCAGGGAATAGGCTTTCAGGCTCTGCAGCAGGCGCTGCTGCTTGGGTTTCCGATTCCTCTTCTAGAGAGGGATGAAGGAGGTCCTTTGAGAGGCATGTTAGCAAGCAGAGGTCACTGCCAGACTGTGATTCTGTTTTTGTAGAAAAGAGGATAATCTATTCCTTTTCCTTAACACTAACCCTAATGTGAAGTTTCGAACTTCACAATCACTGTAGCTATCCTGATGGTGGTGGTGGTGATGTGCTGTTCAGCTGCCTGAGACTCATGGTGACCCTGAGAACAGTGAGTCAGCCTTACCCTGTTTATTGCTCTGTGCCACCTCCAGTATACTTACGCCCACTGTTACAGTCACTGTGTCAATCCATCTTGCCAAGGGTCTTCCTTTCTCACCCTTCCCAAGCACGATGTCCTTCTCCAAGGACTGGCCCCTCCTTTCAACATGCCTCGTTACAAGAGACAGAGCCACACCGTCCTTGCCTCCAAGGAGCACCCTGGTCACACTTTCTCCAGGATAGACGCGTTTGTTTTTTGACAGACAATCCATGTGATACTCCCTTCTCCAGCACTACAGCTCGGAGGCATCGAGTCGTCTTCTGTCATCCTTATTTATTGTCCAACTTTAAAACGTTTTGAAAGACTATGGCTTTGATCTGGTGCACCTTAGTTTTTAGACTGACTTGATTATACTCTGGAGAGGTCTGTGATGGCAGATTTTCCCACTGTGGTGTATCTTTTGATTTCTTGACTGCTGGTACAAAGGACATTAATTGTGCATCCAAGCAAGATGAAATTGTAGACAATTTTAATCTTCATCCAGAATGATGTTGCCTTTTGGCCCAATGGTGACGTTTATTTTTTAAATAATTCACAGTAAGTCAGTATCATTTGATCTTCTCCAGCAGGCATTTTAAGTCTTCCTCACATTCAGCAAGCAAAGTGTGTCATGTGCATAGTGCAGATTGTTGACGAGGGTGTGCTTTTTCTAATTCTTGTACCTTTGAATCAGATCCGACTGGCACTGCTTCTCCAGTGGAGCATCTGGTAGATTTGAACCATGTGCCTTCAGGATTGCAGCGCAGTTTCTCACCACTAGGTCACCAGAAGAGGCACCATGTTCTTTTTAAATAGAGTCCATCCTTTAGATTGCTTGCTCAGCGTACAGGCTGAAATACATATGAAGAAAGGACACCGTCTTGATGCACACCATTTTTTATTTTGAATCATGCTTTGTTCTCTTACTCTGTTCACCCAAGAGCCTCTTGGTCTAGGTGTAGGTTTCGCGTGACCCGTTAATTCCTATTCTTACCTATATTTGCCATAATTTGTTGCGATACACACTACCAGATGCCTTTTGCATAGTCAGTAAAGCACAAATAAACATCCTTTTGATATTCTCTGCTTTGTGGCAAGATCCATCTGGCGTTAACAGTGATACCCTTGGTGTCACGCCATCTTGTAAATCAGACTTTAATTTCTGGCTGTTCCTTTTTTCTATGTCCATATGATATGAACAGTACTGTTTGGTAATTTCCACATTCTGTTGGATGACCTTTTTTTGGAATGGGAACAACTATGGGTCTCTTCCCGTCCGCTGGCTAGGTAGGTAGTGATCTTCCGGATTTTTTTTTGGCACAGCCTAGCAAGCATGCCCAGCATGGCATCTGTTTGTTGGACTTTGTCAGTTGTTTTTCCATGGATTTCTGGGGTATTTTCTCCAGTGGCCTGAGTTAAGCCCTGTTAACTGCACACATCAGATATGAGTTAACCTGCTCTCCCAACTTCTGATGTGCTATACCTTGTGTGTGTCTGTGGTACTTTTCTCATTAGTTGAGAACAGTTAGTTGGTATTTATGTACATGGATCCTTATCTAATCTTTAGGCTAGAAATTCTTTGAAAATGTTCCCAGAAATCACCCTTTGACTAACAAAAGAATACTGCAAGTGAATTAGCTTAAAATGTAATTTCTAAGGAGGAACATTTAGAAAACTCCTTAGAAATGTATCTTTATCATGCAAATTTCTAAGTATGTTTCACTGAACCTAGCTGTTTCCGTTTCCCTTCGTCTAATTTTTAATTAATTTTTATTTTCTGAATGAAAGCATTGATCCAAAATCAAAGAATCAGACTAATTTGACTTTAAAATTTCACTTTAGTTGGAGGTTGATGATTTAGTCAAAAGGGATATTTTGTATTAAATCCTTAGCACTTACAGGTATAGCACTTGGAGTTGTGTTAGTCCAGAAAGTGGTAATCTGTGAACCGAAGTTTTAATAGCTACAGTCCATTGTTGCATACAGTATTTCCAACACACTGTAATGTTTCTGCTTTTAAATAATGATCTTGATGTGAATTTCATAAGTAGCAGCCCCCCACCTCCTTTAATTTTTTTTTTATGACCTTTGGCCAGTTTTTCACACCTTTCAGCGTCTTTATATGTTATTAAGCAGGGGGAGCGCCAGGAGGTAAATGTGTCTAGAAATCTTCTGTACCTTCAGTTTTTAGTTCTTTCTTGGTCATCATTAGGTGCACAGGCCATACTTTAGGCCTATGAGGCCATTGTAGTAACACTTGCTGCAGTCAGGTTTGTTCCCTGTTTAGGTTGCATCCGCTCTAGAAAAATGGAAGTCGGCGATCCGAGAAGCTCAGACCTTTTCGAGAATGCACGTTCTGCTCGGGATGCTCGATGCCTGTATCAAGTGGGATATGTCAGCAGAAAATGCACGATGCAAAGTTTGCCGCAAGAAAGGTATGCTTTGAATAAAGGGGCCGATCTGAGCGTGCTGAGGGCTGGTACGTCCCTAAAATGATCCTGGTGTAACTTGTGTGGAGGAACCAGTTGACTTTTCCTTTGAGGTCGCAGTGCTAGTGTATTATATCATGTGCCAGTGAATCAAAACAGGCCCCGTACAGCAGCTTAGTGCAAAATAAGACCATTTGTTTCTCCTAAAAGGAGTTAAAGTATCTTGACTTTTGTATCTTTACCTATCTCAGAACGTTAGTCATCTGTGAGATGGGATGCGTAGGGCACAGGCCTTGGACTTGATGGAGGAAGCTGAGGGTTAATAGCAGCCTTCTAGCACGAAGACCTTCAGAGCAAGGTCGTGAGGCCCTTCACCCCACAGGTGCGGAAGGAACCTCATGGCTCCTAACTCCCAGGTCACTGGCTAACATTACTTCGTCAGTTGAGTTACTTGAATTTCTAAGGAGGAAAAAAACTCATTGTCATAGATTGGAACCAACTTAGCTGATCCACCAGCAGGTTTCTGAGGCTATAACTCAGATGGAAGGAAATTATTCCTCTTTCTCTTGGGGCTCTTAGTGGATCTGAAGGGCTAGACAGACCTGGCCTTGGGTTAGCAGTGCAGCTTACCCGAGCTGCATTACACAACTCTTCAAGGGTTAAAAGACCTAACAAAGATCATTGAATTGCTTTTAAAAACTGTTTGGGGTGAAAGTTGGACAGAGTTACCTTGTAGGTTGGTTTAGATTGATAAACAGAAGGAATTCACAAACCGTGTTGGATGCGAGGTGGGAAACATGAGTTGAAGAGGAGGAAGGGGCTAGAAAATAGTCATTCTCTCAGTGGTAGTAAAATTTCCTGCCATTGCTTGGTTTTTGCCATCTTCTTGTAAACGTTAGGGAGATCTGGTCTCCTGGTGGGTAGGAGGGAATGGGCTCTGCAGACCCAACGGCAGGTGGCACGAGTGCCTGGAGGCTCCACAGGAGAAAGATTTGACTTTAAAATTTCACTTTAGTTGGAGGTTGATGATTTAGTCTCCCGTTGATGATTTAGTTCACTTTAGTTAGAGGTTGATGATTTAGTCTTCCTCCTCCCGTGCCGTTTACAGCCTTGGAAAACCTGCCAGAGAGTCGGCTGTGTGACTCCACAGCAATGACTTTGATTTTTTAGTAAATCATGGTCTCTGGTGGCCTCACTGGTGGGGAGTTGTGCTGCCAACCCAAAGGCATGCAGTCCAGACCCACCGCTGCTCCGTGGGAGAAAGCTGACCTCTCCTGTGTGGCTTACAGCTCACCTGGAGGTCAGCACTCCGTCTGTCCCCACTCGGCAGGGGTGACTAGATTTTTGAGTTAAGAGCTTGGTGCAGATCGAGCAGCTGCTCTGTGGAATCAGAAGGAGTTTTCTTCCTGTAAAGATTTACAGCCTTGGAAACCTGAGGGATGATCAGCTAGGAGCTGAACCGACTCTGCAGCGCTGGGGCGCCAGGGGAGTTTAGAGTAAATAGTAACACATTGCTGCACACTTTTAAATTGACGAGCGTGCTTAGAAACTTTTTTCCCCCTCCGATGTATTACCGTGATTTGCGGCAACATGTTAACTGTCCTATTTACCCTTGGTTCAGCTCTTGAGTATCTTGGGAAAGTCTGCTGTTAGGGGCCTCTCCAAAGTACTAAAGAGTAATGGTGTCACACTGGAGACTAAGGTGCGTCAGATACAGGCCATGGTCTTTGCAATCACTTGTTATGCATCAGAGAGTTGGACAATGACCAGGGAGGATAAAAGGAGAATTGATGCCATTGAGCTGTGGTGCTGGAGTAGAGTATTGAATGTACCATGGACTGCTAAGAAAACAAAAAGGTTCATCCTAGGGAGGGTTAAACTGGGCTATCTCTTGGAAGCAAGGATTCTGGGGCTTCGTCTGACATATTTTGGACATATTACAAAGAGGGACAGGTCCTTGGAGAGGGACATCATGCTTGGGAGGGAAGGCCCTCTATGAGGTGGATTGATTCAGTGACTGGGGTAATCAGAATGGGTGTATCAGAGACAGTGTGATTGGCACAGGACAGAGCAGAGTTTAGGGCTGTTGTACATAGGGTCGCTGTGAGTTGCAAGCTACTCGACGGCACATAACATTTAAATTATGGGATACAAGTCAGGAGACTTGACCTTTAAATTCCCTGTAGTCTGGTTTATGTTACATGTTAAATGAGGTGGTGTGACACGTTCACTTCTCCTTAGTAGCACAGAGCACAGGAGCTTGTTGACAGCGTCCAGACAGTGCAGGTTTCTCTCTCTGCAGGTGAGGATGACAAACTGATCCTGTGTGACGAATGTAACAAAGCCTTCCACCTGTTCTGTCTGAGGCCGGCCCTCTATGAAGTACCAGATGGCGAGTGGCAGTGCCCAGCTTGCCAGCCTGCTACCGCTAGGCGCAACTCTCGTGGCAGGTGAGAATATGGTTTTCCTTTTAGAAATGAATAAATGACTATTAGAATTCATCTGTTACCAGACTGGGTGGCGCTAAGGTTCGTAGGTTCATCTTGTGGCTGTAGTGCCTGATCATTTCTGGTAGACGTTCAGGGGAGTCGGGTTTAACTTCACTGTTAACACTGCTAGTTCTTCCTGTCTCTCATGCCTCAACCGTATTTTCTTAAAATTATCCTCCCTCTGCCTGTTGTAGCCTTCTAATTCCAGTCACTCCACCCCACTGTCACGAAAACTCCGCAGTCAGACTCATCATTCTCCTTAACCTGGTGTTTCATTCCTTGTGGTGCTTAGAACTTAGACACACACTGTGACATCCTCATTCATTTGCCAGATGCTGTCACTTCAGGGTTTGTCGTCTTACGAATCAGTCTCTTCATTCTCTGTAGTCCTTGCCATCATTGGATTTTGCTCAACTCTCACCTTCAGTGACTTTCACCTCCTCTTTCTTTACCTCTTAGCCATCGAGCTATGTGTGGATACCAGAATAATTTAGATCTAAAGATCTACTCACACCTCATGCTTTGAACATTTCCATTTCCCTGAGAATAATGTCCAAACATTTTGGCCCAACTATTGAGACTTGTTCAAGCAGCACCTCCTTCCACTTGTAGCCTTGGTCTGTCTTGTGTTTGCTGCAGCTTGGTTGGTGTTTACCCTTGACTTCTCCCAGCCAGGGCTCTTCACACCCTGGGGCGCCCTCCCTCACACTGGCCATGCATGGCCCAGGCTTTCTGAAACCTTTTCTTTTTACGTAGTTCTTCCTCTGTGTCACAGCTGAGCACTAGTTCTTAAAACCATAATGCACCCAGCCGTTATGGCTGGTTTTGTACTTCACAGTCTTCCCAAAGCAGTTGTTAGTGTCTTGGGAGTAAAAATAGTGCTTTATTTATCACTCTAACTTCACTGCGGCCAGGCCCAGGGCCTTGTGTGATGGAAGCACTTAATATTTGCCAAGGTCGTGCCATGCTTATGTTGAAATGTGAAGTTCTGAAAGAGCGGGTCTCAGCACTCTGTTTTGGCCTTTCTTTTAAAGGGCAGAGCTGTTTGATGTTGAACTCAGCTAAATTTATTACTTGGGTATTTTTCACTGTGTTCCAGCTACACTTAGAGGTGAGGCCTTTGGACCAGCTGTTTTGAGCAGGGATTACTGTTGCTTTGATGTTATGATCATCTACAAGCTGTTTCAGTCCTGGAAAGGGGCCATCAAGGTGGAGTTAACACCTGTCTGGGCTCCATTTTTCCTTTCAGTCCACTCCACCTGGCTCTTTTTGTGAGACACAAGAAATCGTGTTTTGTATTGCTTTATGGAGGCAGTGGGGAGATTTACACTTGATTTTGATCTGTTGTCATTGGTACCTTATCTCAGCTTTTGGGCCCTGGTCAGGAAACACATAATCATGAAACGCATGTGGTCTGAACTTGAAGCCTCCTAGGAGCCGTGTGGGCTAATTATATATGTCCCCTGTGTGCCTTTACCTTCTCCCAGGAATTACACTGAGGAATCCACCTCTGAGGACAGTGAAGATGACCAAAGTGACACGGAGGAGGAGGAGGAGGAGGAGGAGGATTATGAGGTAGCAGGGTTGCGATGTAAGTACTTAGTTTTACTTCGTAATCTTACTTGCTAATCTCAACGTCTCCAGAGCGAACATGGAGAGACTGCTGGGAGTGGACAATCCGTGTTGTCATCTTGCTCCATCACATGTTGTGGCTCTACGGCAGCTGGACTGTCAGGTTCACAGACTGAGTTTTCAAGATGCCATTTAACCAAGCTCCAAGTAGGAAGTTACCTTAGTCTCAAAAACAGCGACTTCTGGCAGATCTGCTTGTGGAGTGGAACCACCAAGCACCTGGCTGAGGCCCAGTCGGGGACGGGAAGGTCCTTCTGTCTCCAGTCTAGTCCTCCACTGTACTCACAGCTGCTGTTTCCTCTGTGCTTACAACTTTGCTCATTTTTAAAGAGGAGGCTGGTTCTTCAATGATTTAGGCTTGTGGTTTTTAGGTGGGTTCAGATCCATTCCTACACGATGCCAGTGGGGGAGTGGCGGGGGGCTGGCTCTTTCTCTCATGCTTGTTTTCAGGAATCACTCTCACCATCTCGTTCACTCGATTCACAGTATGTCATCCTTTATAGGTATGTAGGAAAGAGTCCACAGATGAGGATTTGATGAACCTCAGAGGAGATGGTACCATTTCCAAGAGCCTAGACCATAGTTCTGAACAACTGAGCCTGATACAGATGTGCCCTCTTACGCAGTGGTGCTGAACTTGAACCTTCCTAAGAGGCCGTTGGACTTGTATACTTGTTTCACTCCCCTCACTTTGTCTTCCCCTCCAAGGTTATCATTTGGGACACTTTAAAGTCCCCGTTCTTCCAAGGCCTCGTTGTACGCACTGGCTTGCTATGAGGGTTGCACGGTAAAAGGAGCCCATTAATGTACCTTACAAAGAAACCCAGTGACTGGACAGAGTTGTGATTTGGATATACATTTGGCTAGGGCCAGATTCTGAAAATACTTAGTCACACAGTGATTCCTTTCCATTTCCAAGTAGTTGCATTTTTCCAAGAATGTGTTTCCACTCTAGTTTCTAATGATTGTCTTTGCCAAGAGAATGTAAGAAATATTGATGCTTCAGCATGTCTCCTTGACCTTTTAGCCCTCGGAATGATGGTGGTTCACTAGGGCAGTTCAATACCCTAGGTGGCTTTTTCTAGCATCCCAACTTCTGTCACGGGCAGTGGCTTCTAACTCCCCCTTTTTAGTCCAGACTTGAGCTGTTACTATGTGCCCTTGAGTCGGCTGACTGTACAGTAGATCAAAGCTTTGCCCGAACTCCAGAGTCTCTGCTGTACTTCAGTCGTCACTGTCAGCCCATCTCTGTGAGGCTCTGTCTCTTTTCCTCTGACCTTCTACCTTTGCAGGAATGCTGTCCTTTTCCAAAGACTGGCCCCTCCTGGTAGTCTGCCAGCACCCGTGAGCTGGGCGGACACCTCGCTGTCCTCGCTCCAGAACACATCTCTGTTACTGGGCAGCCAGTGGTGTATTCAGTGCAGACATCACTGTTCACGGCACCAGTTCTTCTGTGATAGTGTTTGTTCACTGTGGCTTGGGTCACGTGCCTCTTCTCTCTAAATGGACATCCTTGGAGCCTTAGCATTTTAAACGGGTCCCTAGCTGCACATTTGCCCAAGTGTTTTTTGTTTGTTTGTTTTTTTAATTTCGTGACTACTGCTGCCACAGATGTTAATTGTGTACCCAACTAAATTACCAAAGAGAAGGCATAGCATTAGAAATAGAACTTGAAGGGAGCTGTGGTGGTCTAGTGGCAAGAAGCTGCACTGCAATCCCAGAGGTATGCAGCTCAAATCCACCAGATGCTCTGCTGAAGAAGGAGGGGCAATCTCCTCCTGTACCAGTCACATCCAATTTGGCGGCACATACACACAAAATAATAAAATTTTTAAAAAAAAAAGAAATGGAACTTAAAAACATTGGAATTTCTTTATCCTTTTCTCTGTACCTCTCCAAATGTCTCCTCCCTGCTTTCCAGGGTATTAGCATGGGAAAGTTGTGGAGAACCCTTGTTACTGCTTTATAGCACGTTGCTCAGGGGGACACAGGAGAGATGTGGGCTTGTCTGACATTGAGCACCAGTTGTGAACCTGAGACACAGGAGGCGGGCTCCATGCTCTCCGGGGTCCTGGGTGGGGCTGCTGTGGATGCCAGCAGGACTAGACCCTCCCTCAGTTGGCTTCATTGAGAAAGACTGACACTATTTTTAGTAATAGCAACTTTTCTCTGGAAGATGACACATGGTGTGTATCAGGTGCATTGGGGATTTTGAGACGTGGTCTAATCTGTAGGCAGAATTTCGTCTCACATGCAGACACACCCGCCGTAGCAGGCTGAGCTCGGGCTGTAGACGCTCCGAGCACATTTGTCAGCACACACCACCTTCTGAACCAGTGTCCAGTCCCCCCTTTTCAGGGCTTCATTTCTGGGGAGTAATTTTAACAGATTGGAAACAGGGAGGACTGATGAAATGAGGTTTTTAAATAGTCTCCCAAAAGATTGTAGAACTCTTCCCTCATATATGTTGCTACTTTTGAAAAGGAGCAGCTTAGACACGTAGGACAAACAGTGGGCACCTTGTCCAGAGTTAACCTGTGGGCCGCTCTTGTTTGCTTGTCCACTGTCCTCTTCCTGGGCCAAAGACATGTTCCCTTTATCCTCAGCTGTTCTGCTCTAAATCCGTAATTCTTTTTGCAGTGAGACCGCGAAAGACTGTTCGAGGCAAGCAGGGTGTCATCCCTCCCGTGGCAAGGCCTGGTCGACGCCCAGGGAAGAAGTCCCAGCCAGCCAGGAGGACCCGCCAGAAGGCACCACCTGTGGACGATGCCGAGGTTGAGGAGCTGGTAAGAATGTTTCCTCTTTCATTTGAACCTTTCTTTTTCTTCTTGTTCCACCCCAGCATTAGGGAGGCAACAGGTGGGCGCCTCCCCTCTTCCCTCTCCTCCCTGCACTGAAGGCAGATGGGCAGGCCTGGAGCAGGCCCTCCCGGAGAAGCTATGTGCGGCACTCCCCTGCTGTGTCGGGCAGATACTGTCTTTAGTTAGCAGGCAGCCTGCCGCTTGTTGAGGATCTAAAATAGAGCCCAGTGGGCTGGGTCCCCACGGGAATGCCAGCAATGCTGGAGCCCTGGCTCCTGGGGACAGTTGTTAGAGGAGGGAGGTCACCCGCCCCTTGTCCCTCCACCAGTGTAAACGCATTTTGTTTTAGCTTTCACTTTAAAGAACAAAAAGAGACTCTTGTGGGCATGTTTGTTCTGATAGATCACACTGGGCTTGAAGGCATTAGAAAAACCCTATTTCTCTGACTCATGCCCCTCCGGCTCTGTGCTCTTATTACTCGGAGCTATAGCTGGCTGTGGCTTCCTGAAGGCAGGACAGGGGGTGCCTAGCTGCCTGTGTTGGAGAGCCCACATCCATGAAGAGACCCCCTCCCCCACAGAACACAGCAGGTGCTTCAGGTGCTAGTTCCTGTCCCTGCTGTTGCTATGATCGCAGGGCTGTGTATCCTCAGGAGGCCAGCACCCTGTTTGCTGTGGCCTCTGCTACTTTAGTGGGCTGAAGGTCCGATCCTCTCTGCTTCCAGAAAATGACTGGCTTCTTGTTCTTTTCTAGTCCCACTGTGTGTCTCTCTGCTTCTTTCAGAAATACATTTTCTCCCCTGTGCCCTCTTCTTTCTCTATCTGTAGTAATTTGCTTGTTTTCATTGGTGTTAGATGCTTCAAACCAAGCGGAGCTCCCGGAGGCAAAGCCTAGAGCTGCAGAAATGTGAAGAGATCCTCCACAAGATCGTCAAGTTCCGCTTCAGCTGGCCTTTCAGGTGAGTTCTCTGATCCAAGTGGAAGGGAGAGGGAGGAACCGATCTCCTGGCTTCTCGGAGTATTCGAGGGAGGCGACAGAAGGCTGAGGAACCACCTCCGTCCTTCCTTCTCAGGGCATAGGACAGGGGCAGGGGCAGTCTGTATCCAGGTTCACTAGGATCCACCTTTCCCGGTTCTCCTGCGGGAGGAGAGGCCGACTGGGACAAGGCGATTGACAAGGTTTCTCTCACTTGGCGCTTGTTAATCCCCACAGGGAGCCTGTGACCAGAGACGAGGCCGAAGACTACTACGATGTCATCTCCCATCCCATGGACTTTCAGACAATGCAGAACAAGTGTTCCTGCGGGAGCTACCGCTCTGTGCAGGAGTTTCTCACCGACATGAAGCAAGTGTTTACCAATGCCGAGCTCTACAATTGCCGCGGCAGCCACGTCCTCAACTGCATGGTGAAGACAGAACAGTGTGTGGTGGCTCTGGTGCATAAACACCTTCCCAGTCACCCGTATGTCCGCAGGAAACGCAAGAAGTTTCCTGACCGGCTGCCTGAAGATGAAGGGGACAGTGACCCAGAGCCCACTGGGCAGTCCAGGGCACGAAGACAGAAGAAGTAGAGGCAGGACCCCGGTAAGGGAGCAGAGGCTGCGGGGCTGGAGCAGGGGAAGGGGGAGCAGGGGAGGCGAGAGAAGACTGAAGACCTTGGACAGGAAGAACCCGCGGGGCACAGGGGCTTCTGCAAGCTGCCCGGCCACCCACGGCTTTCTGCAAGCAGAGCTCTTTGTGATGGTCTTTGCCCAGAAAGGTGAGGGGCAGGAGAGGGCTGTGCCCCCTTGCAGAGAACTACAGGAAAAGTCCAAGGGCATGGCTTCTACGTCCTTTCGTTCGTTTCTTCTTGAGGTCCCTCTGATCTGGCCTCCAGCGGAGAGATTACTGTGTTCCATAGAAGGATCCAGGTTAATCAATCAGGCCAATTGGGTAGATGGTGATTTTTTTCAGTCTCTATTTCCACAGTGTCTTGTCTCTCCAAGCCCATGCTCTGTCTCTCCCTCTCCTCAGGTGTCGGTGTCCTGAAGGCCGTAGAGCTCTGTAGTCACCAGCATCATGAAACACTTGTAGTCTTTTGAGTTGATCTTGGCAGAGTGAAGGGTCGTTTCCGGAGCCATTCCTGAGTCCCCCGCCCCTTCTTTGTGACACCCCCCTCTCCACCTCACCCGCCCCCTAAAAAAAAACCACCACAAAATAAAAACGAAGGCACTTCACTTTTAGAGAGACTGAGGTCCTGCTTACAATCATGCACAGAACTTTTCCTTTGATGGATCTGGCCAGAGGGGTGTTGGAGCTCAGCCCACCCACATACCAGACAAGCTCTTGGGGAAGCAGAAGAAAAGCAGGAAGAATTTAAAGGTTTAATTTTTTTTTTAAATTGACTTTTCTAGTTATTAAAAGTTGCTTGTTTTCAGCAGTGATATTGTATAAAGAACATCTTGTAAAGTATTTCTGTCATCTTGCTTTGGCACATGTACAGTACAGTTTCTATGAGAACGTGTTTGCTTTACTTGGCCCGTCTTGTCCCCCAGCCACTCACCTCTCTCTGCTTTGGAGAAATGGGTTGGAGACCCATCAAGGCAGGCAGAGAGGATGTGCCTGGGGAAGGGAATCCCTTTTTCCTGCCATAGTGGCTGTTTCTACTCTCCACTGCTTCCTCCCACACCCATTCTGGCTTGAGAACAGGAACCCTTCGGTGATGAGGTGGGGGAGCAGGGGGAGAGGCTCCCAGAGCCTCCCACAAGGAGTCCAGCACTAGTGGTTACATTTAGGTAAAGTCTTGTCGTCTTTCCTTTTATGTCCAATTTTGATAAAATTACAAAACTGGGTTTCCTTTATCAATTTTGAATTGGAAGATCTGAGCACCTAAGGCTGTAAGTATTTAGTAAAGGAAAAGAAATCCACCCAGGAATTGTAACTCCTAGAATTTGGAAATAAAGCTTCTAATACTAAACTTCTAATGCTAAAGTTGTGGTCCCTGTCTCTGTGTCCTCCTCGCCGGGGACCTGAGGACTTTGGCCCAGTGGCTGAGTGCCCGTTGCTGTCCCCAGGCTCAGAGTCAGCACCGACGTGACTTGGCCACCACCACCACCACCACCTTCCTGCCTCTAGCCAGGGTCCCCTGTGTTCTCTTACTAGTGAGGCTCCTGTGTTCCCACCCAAGTTAACAGCTGACTGGGGTTTTTCTGTCATAAAATTGTCTTTATGGAGGAAGAGCCCCATTAACGGGTGAACTTGTAATAAATTGGAATTTCAAATAAACATTATGTACTTGTGTTTATAAAGAAGACAGTTGTGGTGACTCTTGCTTTGTGCTCTTAGGGTTAAGTGGATGGGTCAGCCGCTTCCTCTCACCCACCTTTGTGCACGAGTCCCTTGGGCCAGAGAGAACACCACTTAAGTCTTTAATCAGAGGTCAGCTTTATTTTGACCTTCCAGGAGGCATTTCCAAGTGCACAGAGGACCTGGAGCCTGACTTCTAAGCCTCTTCTGTCTGGTCTCCAGCTAAGGGACGCCAGGGGGTGTGTGTCAGGATTGTGCAGCTTCCCAAAGTTAAAGAAGGGGCTCTGAGGGTGGAAGCTCCACCAGCAGCTCAGTACAAGGAAGGGTGTGAGCGCCTCAGCCCCAGGCCGGACAGTGAGCACTGAAGGGAAGGAGGTCTGGGGGCCTGGTCTGCAGGCTGTTGCTGTGTGAGCCCAGAGCTGTTAGGACTTCAGTCGGGGTTTACGCAGGCCTCAGGGTGCTTCATTCTGCCCACGGGATGGCTGGGAGTCATTGACTTAAGTGAGGCCTAACAAGAAGGGAACAACTCGGGACACTAACATTTTTAAATGTCTATTTCAAGCAAAATTTAAAATTTTTTAAAAATGAATTTTCATGTGCATAGCTTCAGCTGCCCCACCACAAGCCCAAAGTCCGTGTGTGTGTGTGTGGAGCTTGCTGGGGGTGGCCGGGTGGCAGCTGACATTGCTGTGACTCTCGTACCAGAGCCTGGAGGTGCTATCTCTTACTGTGATGAGACCCCTTTGCCCAAGGCCTCTGCTGACCTCTCCCCTCAACCCCAGACTCTGGAAAGATCTTTGCTCCCTCTTTGTGTCTCCACAGTAGTGAGTTTTGACCTTGGTTGGACCCCGAGGTCCCAGCCCTTCACTGTACGTCCTGTTCCGGAGGCAGCGCGGCTGGGAGGCTGTGGGACCACGTTAACTCTTGTAGGGTCTGCTGCTGAGTCCTGCTCAGGACTTACCCAGCTGGGCCTCACTGGCCTGATTACCCCTGCTGGCCCTGAACTTGTGTCAATGGAATCACTATTGGCTGAGGTCAATGGTACTGGGCCCCAACCTCGAAGGCCATGAGGAGGAGTCCACAAGCCATGTTGTTGATGGACATGAGATGCAAACGCCAGCGGATAGGTGGTGGTTTCTGGGGGGGGGGGGTATTGTTTGTCAAAATTGGACATAAAGCTCTTTTTAGGGGACAGATTGAGCTGATTAGGTCCCCTCAGGAGGGACTTCTGTGCCCCCGCAGCCCCAGCTTCTCTAGAACCTGCAGAGATTCTAAATAGCCTGGAGCCAACCTACTCTCAGCCCCTCTAATGAAACCAGGAGAGAAGACCGACCGCTGCTTGGCAGAGTCACAAAAGCACCGTCAGCTGGTGGATGGGGGTTCTGTTCCCAGCTCAGCCTCAAACAGAATGGCTCTGTGATGGTGGTGGAGAACTCAGGCCCTTTCCTTCTGTAGGGGAGAGAGGATCAACTAGGTACCCTGCACAGGTGCTGGATTTGTTGTCTTTTTTCCTCCAGGATTTGGGGTTTTCTGTGACCATCCAGCCTCCAGGCAGGGCCCCTTGGGACTGGTTCACATTACACCACTTCGCCTGCCCTCCCATCCCAAGTGGCCTGTTTGCACTGAGCCCACACGGCCCAGTGCCCCTGCCTGCACCTCACTCAAAACTCAGTCACTGCTGTCCACTTGGTACTGACTCAGTTGATTGTCCAGCAGGTTTTTGGAGGCTGTAAACGACAACAGGATGAGACAGCCCATCCTTCTCCCGCAGCTGCCACTGAATTCAAGGCGCCATGTTTAGGTTTAGGAAACTCCTTCGGACTCCACCACCAGAGCTCTGCTTCTCCCTCAAGGACTCTTAGATGGGGAGTCTGGTGGCTAAGTGATAAGAAACTGCTGTCATCCCCAAAGGTATGCAGTTCAAATACATCCTCTGTTCCATGAGAGGATGAGCAGTCTCCTCCTGTGCCTTTTACTGCCTCTGAAAACTCCGTGGCATCAGCCAAGTTGTTGGTTCCATGCAGAGATACTTAACAAGGCACCCAGGTCAGCTGGGACTCAGCACTCCGGGGAAACAACGGGGTCGAGGTGGCCGGAGATGTGCCAAACTGAGGTGCGGGCCTGCAAGTTCCTTGGGGGTGAAGGCCAATGCCTAATACCCCTCAGGACACTGACCCCACCCTGTGGCTTTCACCTCTCTGCCTGGTGCAGGGCAGAGTTCAGGCTCCAGGGACTCTAGAGGAGCACTCCCCAGCCTGACAGGTCACTGAGTCCCTGGCACTGACCTTGAATGCTGTGTGTGTGCACTGTGTACCCAGGGATGTAGCCAAGAGTGGAGGCAGGGGTCTTACCCGACACTGCCTGGGCCCCTGGGGCACATGGCCACCTACCATGGACAAGTCCCAGCAGCCCTGAGTGTGACACATGCACGCAGCCTCCCATCCCTGGCACACGCGTGTGCAAGGTCCCCTCAAACAAGCTGCATATGCTCCCCTGCGGGCCCCGTTTCTCACAGATGCTGCCAGCTCCCCCCAGACAGGCTGGGGTCTCAGTGCCCACCACCAATCCCTGTCTCCGAGCCTGGGTCTGTGCCAACATGGCCTCACTGCCTCCTGTCAAGCCAACCCTCCATTGGGTTTCCGAGGCCTGTAAGTCACAGGAGGAGACTGCCCAGCTCGCCACTGTCAAAACCACTGGTGGGCTCGAACCACTAAAGGGAATGGCTTTGGGTTAGCACTCAACCCCCTCAGAGACTACGGCACCAAGCTCCCCAATGCCAGACACCCACACATCGGCCAAAGCCCATCTCCACCCTACCCAGGAGTATGAGAAAGCCAGGTATAGACAATCGTGGGGAACACACAGGACGGATGGACGAGGGATGGAGGGATCTCAGCCTCGACCTCTGCCCGGGGCCTTGGCGGCACCTCAGGCTGCCTGATACTCTCATTCTGCAGACAAATGAGGAAATGAAGTTGTGAAAAGAGGAAACAGCCTCAAGCTTTAAACAAGAGTCCCAGACTTCCCAGGGGCAGAAATGAGAGTCCCCCAGGCACCCAGTCCCTTCAGAGCCCAAAGCTCAAGCCCAAGAGAAGCCAAGACAGGAAGAGAAAGCTCTCCTTGTCCCCCTAAAGCTGGGACTCTGGCAAACACAGCTGTTCCAGGGGAACTGCATCCTGATTGGTGGGAAGCCAGAAAAGGGGGGGCTGTTTACCACCAGGACGAGTTTGTCACCCCCCCTCCCCCAAGTCCTGCTCACAGGGAAACTCCTGCAGCCTGCTGCTGTCCCCCTTCCCAACCCAGAAAGGACTCAGTAGTGCCACGTGGGGGTTTATTCTGTCACAGCTTCCAGAGAAACTCGACAATAAATTACATCATTAAATAAACTCCCTGCTGGACCGTCCCCTCGCCCACCAAGGCCTCTCCGCCCCCGGCAGGGTGCAGCGGGGGCTGGGGGCAGCGAGCCTTGGTGGGCGCTGCCGGGTGAGGGGCTGCAGGAATCGCCTACCCTGGTCCTCACCCCACTTGCCTGACCTTGACAGCTGGGCAGCTGCAGTCAGCTGTCCCCGGGAGGGGGAGGCGTGGAGAGGGCAGCAGCCGCTCCAGGCCTGTTCCTAGAGGTGTGTGGGGTTCTCCAGAGTGGGGTCTGTCTTAGTCATGTGCAAGACCACAGTGGGGGCCTTGTAGTGGCAGTGGGTGCTCCGGCCGTAGCCCCCAGGGGTCCGGCAGGCCTTGGCCCGGGCCCGGCCCGCTGCCATCTTGCGGTGGCACAGGCTCTGCCACGTCTGGAAGGTCTTGGAGCTCCACACCCAGACGCCGCTGGTGATGCCCACCACCAGCGACATGAAGATTTTGAGCATGAAGACGGCGACGGTGGGCACCGAGCCGCCCTGCAGCGAGCAGTCCCTGCGGGTCCCCGGCCCCGGCGCACACGGCTGCTCCGCGGCCCGGAGGCGCCAGAAGTCCATGTTGAGGCGCTCGTAGACATAGCAGACAATGACGCAAGTGGCTGGCACCGTGTACAGGATGGAGAAGACCCCGATCTTGACCATGAGCTTCTCCAGCTTCTCCGTATTGGTGCCCCCAGTCTTCATGATCTTGCGGATGTGGAAGAGAGCCACGAAGCCCGTCAGGAGGAAGCTGGTCCCCAGCACCAGGTAGCAGGACAGGGGCACCAGCACGAAGCCCGTAAGCGCCGCTGCGTCCATGCTGGCCACGTAGCACAGCCCGGTCAGCTCGTCGCCGGCCACCTTGCGCATGGTAAGGATGACGATGGTCTTGAGCGCCGGCAGGCCCCAGGCCGCTATGTGGAAGTAGCTGCCGTGCGCCTCAATGGCCTCGTGGCCCCACTTCTTGCCAGCCGCCAGGAACCAGGTGAGCGTCAGCACCACCCACCACAGCGAGCTGGCCATGCCGAAGTAGTAGAGCAGCAGGAAGACCAGCGTGCAGCCCGTGTTCTCCAGGCCCTCCTGGATCACGTACAGCGTGCCCGCCTCCTGGTCGCAGGCCACGCTCTGCGCGCCGGCCACCGCGCGGATGAGGAAGGCCAGCGAGTACACGTTGTAGCACATGGAGAGGAAGATGATGGGGCGCTCGGGGTACTGGAAGCGGTGGGGCTCCAGCAGGAAGGTGAGCACAGTGAAGGCGGTGGAGAAGAAGCACAGCGTGGACCACACGGCCATCCAGACGAGCGCGAAGTCCTTGTCCCGCCGCGACCAGAACACCTCGACGCCGGGCCCGCAGCGCGGCGCGCACGAGCGGCTCTTCTCCACGTACTGGAACTTGTCCGGGTTCTCGCAGGTGCCGCTGCCCCCGGGGCCCGAGGCGCCGTCTCCCGGGGGCCGTGCGGGCCGGGGCGCCACAGGCAGCATGCCCCGGCCCTTGTGGGGCTCGGCCGGCCCGGCTGTGGCGTTCTCGGGCGCCTCCATGCATAGCGCGTGCGGGTCGTTGCGCGTGGGCAGCTGCGCGCAGTCCAGTGAGTCGGGCCACCCGAAGTTGAACTGCTCCATGATGGGCGCGCAGCGCAGGCGCGCCTGCTCGCACATGGGCCGGCAGGCGGGGATGGGCGTCGAGACCTGGTCGGTGCACATCGGGGCGTAGAGCGAGCACAGGAAGAAGCGCAGGTGGCTGTGGCAGCCGTACTGCACGAGCGGCGCGAACTCATCCAGCTTGGCGGCCGCCTCGCGCTGCGACTCGTGGCCCAGAAGGTTGGGCATGCGGGTCAGGTTGTAGCCGATGCCGCGGCACATGGGGATCTCCACCTCCTGGCACGGCGCCGGCCCGCGCCCGCGCTCCGGGTCGAAGCGGCCGA